TAAAGATACAGTGGAGTCATGGTGTCACACTCCCTCTGCCTGTGTAGCTATCACAGTCTCTCTGTGGTTTGTTTTCATAGTCGGTCTGCTCCGTGTGCAGCTGAGCAGAGAGACTGAAACTGCTGTTTTTATCAGTGGTGATTGTTGGAACAGTTGAAAGACTAACAAAGAGTTTTGGTGAGTTTTATTCTGTTTCTCTTCACCTTGAATGAAGTAACAATGTACGATGAAATGTGAGGTAAAAGTACTAGTTTTGTCTCTGGAGTCTGGTCTGGCTCAGTGAATTTCAGTTTGTTTTGACCAAATCAGAATTGTGATTGTCAAAAGGACTAACAAAGACTGTTTTGGTGACTTTTATTTAGTTTCTGTCTCGTTTAAAGTTTGTTTTACGATTTATCTGCTAGGTAAAATGACTGGTTTTGTAGCTGTCTGTCTGGTCGTCCGAGGGCCCATTGTTTTGGTCTGAGATGCTGGTGCAGGAATGTGACGTGTAGTGGCAGGTGAATTTCATATATATAACCTTTTAAAAGTGAGTTAAATGGAAAATATAGTCACACAGCAGCTGTTGAGGTGTAAAATACAGTTTTGTGAGGAGTTCAGGCTTTTCAGTGTGTCCATTTGGAACAGCTATTAACACTTTCACCTTTAGACATTGTTGGATAACATATATAAAGGTGGTATAATATAATTCTTGGTATAACAATGAGTGTTATTTCAATAAATAGACAAGCAGGCACTAGTTTCAGGCGTGCCAAAGCATTCACCTGCGTCTTGTCCACTAAATTGCAACATGACACATAACTGGCAGTTAAGCTAAATTCTCACTGTTGAGTTCCACCTTCTTTGTTCGTAACAGATTATTATAAAAGATAAGCTTTTGAAATCTGTGAATTTATTCAGAATTGTAGCAATTAAGACTCACAAATCTCATGTGAATCAATGTTTTTTTCTCTTACGTTACAGTATGTTTGAAGGACTCTGAGGCCTTTATGCCTAAAGTTATACCTGTACACATTCACATGCCGTTGAAAAACCACGTTCCAGCTGCGGCCGTGTCCCAGTTTCACACTGTATATACTGTAAACTCTCAGGGCCTGTATTTATCTCTAGTCTATTATTAGATATTGCCCTTTACAGTATCTTATATCATTTCTTTATGTTTGGATCAGCAGAAGCCTCCTTATTTTTAGTAGATATTGCAAACTCAACACTACATCTGACTGTTTTACTGTCACACTCCAACCCCCATATGACCCCCGACCCAGGGTTCTTTGCAGGCCAGTCAAGTTTTTAAGTTAAAGTTGTGGGTCTCCTCTTAGTTTTGGCCACATAGAGTACTTTAAATACATACCTAAGAAATGATTTTGGGTGCTGGTGTTCAAGCAGCTTAAATGAGTTTCAAAGTTCATTATTGACAAAAACATTTTAACCTCGTGGTGGCAGGAATGGACATGTGAATATTCAGGATTCCAACTGGGCCAACGCCATCTGCTGTGGAAAAGCTCCAGAAGAACCACTAAATAGACACAGAGGTGAGATTGTGTTGTAAACATATGCCAAAATAAAGAGCAGTGAACAACTTAAAGGTCCAGTGTGTAGGATTTAGTGGCATTTGGTAGCGTAATTGCAGATCGCAACTCCCTCGC